GCCTAATGTTTATTTATCCGAAGCAGGGATTCTTAATCAAGTTATAGTATAGCAGTGGGGACCGCTTCAGGAAAAGAAGTTCCGTACAGAATGTTATAGAAACAAAAAATAAAGTCAATAATTTACAAAAAGTAGTGGAATGCTGTCGGTTTTTACTTGAATATTCAGATTTTAGGCTATTTATTGTTTGATATGTTCAATTGACCCTAAAAAATGATAAAACCGCGGAGTGCTACCTTTTAAAGGGGTGCGTTTTTGAGAACGAAGTAAAAAGGTGGTATTTTCAGTTTTTTGAGTTTTACTCGAAAACTATGCACTTTTTCACTATAGTTGTCAAGAGAAAAGTTGTAGCAAATTGAATTTCTAATCGAAATGAGACCTTTTGAAGTTAAAAAAATATTTATTTTTAACAAAAATATGCCCAAAAAACGAATAAAAAAACCCGAAAAAATGCGTTTTTTTTCTTTTTGGCTTTTGGCCCACAACTTTTTTCTGAGAGGAGTTAGGTATAGGCATTGCTTCACAGAAAAAAAAAGTTAAGTTTTTTCCTTTAAAATAAGCCTTTATAGAAGTACCTACGACTAATAGAAACCGAGATACATTGGATCAAAGTTGGCTACTTTTTGGATTTTTGGCCAATTTTTGCCCTTTTTTGACGATTTTCGTCTTTTAACTTTTTTCTGAGTTAATTTAGGTATATGTAATGCCATATTCAAATGAAAGCTATTTTCAAGACCTTTAAAATGGTAGAAGTTTGTACAATTAAAATCAACCGAGATATTTCAATTTAACCAACGATACTTTTTCTTTTTATAAAATTTTTATTACTTTCGGTATTATTTTGTCTAATAAATTTATTTTCGTGACTGTGAAAGTTAAAATAAGTTTCTAGGTGATTGAATTTTATTTATTTATTTAAACAACAATTAATCATATTTATCTTGTAAAATTTTGAATTCTTTTAATTAAATTAAATTTTGTAAATAAGAATTTTTCGAAATTAAAAAATTACCTCGATGTATTTTTACTTGAAAATGCTTGTGTTGAGGATATCACTGCTGCATCTGACTGCATTGTAACTATAATGTATAGTTAAAAAATTGACAGCTTAAAAACTTGTCGATATAAATTATTTGAAAAGTATTAATCAAGTGCAAAATTTATCTTATCTCGATTGCCTTCAACAACTGATGCTCTCAAACATCATGAGTTCAGAGTATATTTTCAGATGCAACAGTGGAATGGTTGTACTTTAAATCCCCTTGATTGGGGTAGGAAAAATTCCATAAATGGGCTAGTTCCCATTTTTAATAATACATCTCCTGCACCTGAAAATTTACTTGAAAAAATAGCATGTAAATGTATTAAAGAATGTATGGGAATAAATTATAAGAATGCTTATGAGCCTGATTTTTCTGAAGAGGACAGTTGATGAAAATGACGACGAAATTGATATTAATATTGAAAATATACTAAATGAAACTGAAAAGTGAAAATTTATAAGATATATATATGATTAACTGTTGTTTAAATAAATAAATAATAATGTCCAATCACCTAGAAACTTATTTTAACTTTCACATTCACAAAAATAAATTTATTAGACAAATAATACCGAAAGTAATAAAAAATTTATAAAAATAAGAAAAAGTATCGTTGGTTAAATTGACATATCTCGATTGATTTTAATTGTATAAACTTCTACCAGGCACCATTTTAAAGGTCTTGAAACCAGCTTTCATTTGAATATGGCATTACATATACCTAAATTAACTGAGAAAAAAGTTAAAAGACGAAAATCGTCAAAAAAGGGCAAAAATTGGCCAAAAATCCAAAAAGTAGCCAACTTTGATCTCGGTTTCTATTAGTCGCAGGTACTTCTATTCTTATTTTAAAGGAAAAAACTTTTTTATCTGTGAAACAATGCCTATACCTAACTCCACTCAGAAAAAAGTTGAGGGCCAAAAACCAAAAAAGAACAAAAACCGCATTTTTTTCGTTTTTTTTACTCGTTTTTTGGGCATATTTTTGTTAAAAATAAATTTTTGGACTTCAAAATTGGAAATTCAATTTGCTACAACTTTTCTGTTAACAACTATAGTGAAAAAATGCATAGTTTTCGAGTAAAACTCAAAAAACTGAAAATACCACCTTTTTACTTCGTTCTCAAAAACGCACCCCTTTAAAAGGTAGCACTCCGCGGTTTTATCATTTTTTAGGGTCAATTGAACATATCAAACAATAAAATTTCTGTTACGTTGTAGTTCCTATCTAAAGTACATAGTCAATACCCTATTTAGTAACTTTCATTACATTTACATTGGACATTCGTCTATGTCCTATTATGTTGTTAAATTGGCAGTACAAACAACGTCCAATATTCATAACCAGTCGGATACGAAACGCCAAAGTAAATATGCCATCGTTTCGATGAATTGTGAGATAAAATTGTTTACAATACGCTTTTCTCCATCACTTACTTTCCAAAAATTAGATAATTTCTCACAACACTTACAGCACGACGTAAACGTAACATAAACTCGCCGCAAAGTGACATACATCAATTGTATGGTCCGACGATGTTTGTTCAGATAGAATTCCAAGAATATCCCTGCGTCACTTTGTTGGAATTAACCACATTCAACATCCGAGGTAGGAAGACATTGGCGACGTGGCGTTCACCGTAGCAGCTTGCAGTGCATACTGTGCTTTTCAGTTACGAAGGCGTGTTTCTTCGGTTCTTTTCTTGGAATTATATCTCAACAAATATCGTACGGACTGTATACAGAGTGATTCAGTCATAATATCTTTAATTTTAAGGGAAGATGTTTTTGTCAACTTCATCGTCTGTTGTTTTTGAAAAACGCATCATTTTCAGTAAGCAACGAATTAATCCTTCATATAAATTAATTCTGCATAATGTAGACAAGGATTTATCAAGAATTATAGATAAATTTCGATGTGTTTACTATCAGCGACAACGTCTACTGATTGAGGTATAATCTATTTATTAAACTGATTACTCTTTCTGATATGAACAAGGCCAACAGTTACTTATACATTAAAAAAAAATATCTTGACCTTGTTGGATTTAATAATTTTCCTACTAAAGTTACAAAACCATTCTTTCATCAACTCTGGATGTATTGTTTCCTTAATAGCCATATATAAATGGAAAAAGCGACATATTTACTGATAGATTCTAAACCAATGTGTTAACTTTAAATTTCTCCATATAGCGTGACATCACCTCTGCGTGATAACTTTAATCCATATTGCTGTACATGCTTCCGAAGAAATTTAATTACTTTCTGTAGAAAGTTGTCGTCTTTTCAATTAATAGTCATTATCCTGCGAAGTGTCAATTTTATGTACACTCGACGCAAGATAAAGGTTTCCAATCTGAATCGTATTTTGTTTGAAATATGACGGCTTAACCGCTTTTACGAATTTTGTACAAAAATGCTTTCCTGGTAGATTGACATTTTTAAAATGGGACTAATCGGCAAACTCTTATAGCAGACCCCGTATGCATTTTTTATTTTCTTGTTTCTATTAAAAGAGTTGCATTTACATTACAATAGAAAAATCGATTTATCCTAGTTAATAAATTTTGTTAAACGTCTACTACCTACTTACGAATAGTTAGATTGAATGGACTTAAGAAAATTAAAAATTCTCGGAAATGGCGGCCTTAAGAACCTACGTGTGTATAATAAAATTTACTTAATTTTAGCCACAGAATGGGCCTCTGGTTTTTCTGTACACCATTACTGAACACTTTATAGGTGCCCGCAATGAAATCAGTTGAAGTTTCTTATAAAAATTGTAAAGCATACACATCTACATAAAAATGGCCTCTTGACTTTTTCTTGTACTATTAAAATTAACAGAGTTAGGGAGGCTGGAAATCAATGGAAAATTTCAGAAATTTAAAAAAATCATAACAAGCAGAAAAATGAATGAATTTTGTAATTTTTTTTCAATCTACTCTAAAAAATGTAACTTTTCTTTTCAGAAAAATAGATATAATTTTTAATCGTTAATTTTAATGATGTAACAAAACAAACATTTTTTTCTATACTATTCGATGGATTATTTAAATTAATGAAAAGTTGCCTTCGATTTTTTTTACGGTTGTTTTTTAGACAGATACAAATTTATTTACCTTTTTATATTTTGAATTTTATTTAGCTTCTACGATACTGCCAGGACAAAGATAAAAAATCACGTTCGCTTTGTCGCACTCATGGTACCGAAGTTGTGGACAACTCGTATGCTTATGACAAAGATAGATTATTTCGTTCGCTATTGTCAATGCGCGTGCGTCAGTAAACGTGTGTTTCTTTAAATTATTGCATGATCAATATCCATTGTTAATATCAACAAGGTAAATACATATTAATAAGGACTAAACTGTATAAGTTATAATAAAACTGTAGTTTACAATATTTTTTTATTTTGTTGCCTTCATGACCTACCTACCTACTTTCTGCAGAATATGACACAAATTCTTATTTCAAAATATTAATTTGCTCAGGGACAAGAAAAATAATGTGGCAAGACAAATTAATTTCAAAACCTGTATACTCTTCTCTTTTTATAATGCATATGCTTCAGGCCTGCAATTTTTTATGTGTCGTTACACACGTGTCTACACAAAAAAAATGACACCCCTAATTATTGATGCCTCCCAATATTCCTATTAATAGTCCACCGGCTCGTCCCTCTAAAAGTAGTATGCCTTTTAGGTTGGAAACCTTTATCTTGCGTCGAGTGTACATCTTACTCTGTTAGATAGTGAACATAGGGGTTATTCCATTATCACTACGTTTTATTACAGGTCATAAAGTTCTTACCTACATCATAAAACTTACTATCGCATTATTTTTTAATAAATGCATTTATAAAATAATGATTTTGACCTATATTTTTTCTCCGCATTATCTAAGAAGGTGACGACTTAAATAAATTAAACGCAATATTACTTCTAATTACAGACGAAAGATGATGAGACTGCTTTGCACTGTGCAGCCCAATACGGCCATACTCAAGTCGTTAGCTTGCTTTTGGAACATGCCTGTGATCCTGGTATAAGGAATTGTCGTGGAGAAACCGCGCTCGAACTTGCTGCTCAATATGGAAGGTAAGTCAGAAACTCTTTCACGATTTACGAGGGATACTAGAAAAGAATACCTATCTATTTAGCCATGAACATTCAGTAGCAATAATCTTTTCTCTTGTGTAGAATGTCGATTCGTTCATATTTTGTGTTTTGATGAAGTGTTTCCCAACAAAAATTTTGGTGGGAATTGAGGGAATATGGAGGGAATCCATACGTCAGAAGATTTTATTTTTGTCATTTTCGGATTCAGCGGAAAATTTTACTAAAGATAGGTAGGTTGGATGGCCTGTTTGAATAATTTGAATTTTTGGCGGGAATTGAGGGTGTGTGGGGGAGGGGGAATCCATTCTCACAAAATTTTATTTTTGTCATTTTCGGGTTCAGCGGAAAATTTTACTAAAGATAGGTAAGTTGGATGGCCAGTTTGATTTTTTAATTTTTGGGGGAATTGATGGTGTGTGGGGGGGAATCCATACGTCAGAAAAATTTATTTTTGTCATTTTCGAATTCACCGGAAAATTTTACTAAGGATAGGTAATGTCACGTCTCTAAAACAAAAAAATTACAGTGCTGAATTAAAAAAATATGCACTGAATTGGTTTACAAATATGCCAACCACTGGCGGAGATACTGGGGAGGAGTCAATAATTAATAACTCTGAAATATAGACGCAAAAAAGTATTTTGAAAATTGGATAAGCGCATCTTGTTCTAATTTCTAACAAAAAAAAATGTTTTTCTTTTTAATTAAGAAATTCCATAAGTATTCAATTCATAAAAAAATTATGAAATTACCACAAGTCTAAAAAATCATTTGCATATGTCAATTTTTTTGTGACTTCTGATATATTGACAGTGTATTTAAAATTATTTTCAAACAAAAAATTACTAATTTTTGTGAAACGAGTTATTTTTATTAATTTTTCGAAAAAATGACCATACTTTCTGTTAGAAATACCAACCGGAATTGAATCTCCATCTTTCCAATGTTCATTTAAACTAATTTCCAAAATACTCAGTGGCGTTAAAATTTTAAGGTTCTTAATGATAGTACCACCCAGTATATTCGTTATTGGCTGACATTTTTGTGAATCAATCAATATTTGAATAAATGTGGTCTTTTTTATTTCAATTCTGTATCTCGACGAAAAAAGGACGAAACGAAGTGTTACTACAAAAACTACTTGTTCTGTATAAAATTTTGTTTTTTTTATCTTAACAACCTATATAGGTCAGAAACGAGGATTTCGAGAGCCAATTTTTGTACGTATCAGAAAATATTGTTAAATTTGGACGAGGAAAATGTTACTTCATTGTGAACTCTTATCGATCTCCTTTTTCCAGGTATTTTTTTTTAATATTTAAAACATAGATATACAGGACTGTACGAAAAAGTAGGTCAAATCGTGAACCACAGATTCCTTTGACGAAAACTATAGAACTTCGTATCAATTTTTATGTAGATGACCCTTCCTTTCAAAAATATATAATTTTATAAGTAACTACTTGATTACTCACGAAAGATTGGACATTTATGAGGTTTTTTGAGAAAAATAATTACCCAATTAAATCCTGTCAAATGTTATCTATTGTAAAATCTATGAAGTATTATGCTTCTTTATAAAATCTATTACCAATTACTTTTATTAGGTCTCGTGTAACAAAAGTTCTATTACTTTAAATTGTAATTTTGTAATTTTGTTAATATCCTGCTTATTTTATTTTCTCTTTATATGTCGGTAATTTGAAAGCATGCTTCCAAATAGTATTGAATAAATAAAATCCGATAATGACATGATTTAAAAGCTTTGAATATAAAAGCTTTTAAAGCCTATTTTATGCTTTGCAAAGCTCAGCGGGTAAATATTTGCTAACATATTGTTCGTAAATTTTATACAAAACCGTTTTTTACTGCGTAGTTTGGTAATGCGGCTGTACAACCTTTACCAAGTAGAAATATGGTGAATTAACGTCTCGATGCACAGAGAAATATCTTGTGTGTTGCTAGAAAAAGGTCATGTCAAAAATGAGGGGTGTAGAGGGGAGCTCAAAATAGTTGTATTACTTCATAATTTTTTTCCTATCGGGCTTCGTTGTTGAGTTATTCACCTTCAAAGGAAGAAGTTTGAAAAACAAATTCCAATAATAACTTCTAAGTCGCTGCCATGACAGCAATGGAATTTGGACAATTAAAGTAACTTATGGTAATGTTCATTTCCAAATTTAAACTGATATCCAATATGCCTCGATTATACAGGAGCAGACGAAATTATCCATTTAAATGTCAAATTCGGCAACACTCAATGATGTATAAATCTTTGACAGTGTTGCCGAATTTGACATTTTTCTTTCATAGTTCGATTCCTCTTTCCCTTTGTTAAAAAAAATGTATACCGTATATCAGTCGATATTTTGTATCGTTTTTGAGAAAATCGAATTTTATTAACAACACACATTTATTGTATCAAAAATGTGATACTAGCATTTTTGTAAAAATCTTAGTTTCTATAGAATTAAAAGAAAAAAAAGAACTGTTAAGTAAGATGTATAATATGTGCACCTTGAACTTCAATGCATTTTCTGAAATTGCTCAAACACCTTGCTGTACTCGAAATAACATAATTTTGTCTGCACCTGTATAATCCAGGCATATTGAATATCAGTTTTAACTTGGAAATGAACATTATCATGAGTTACTTTAATTGTTCAATTTCATTGTCGTCATGTTAACGACTTAGAAGTTATAATTGAATTTGTTTTTCAAACTTATTTCTTTGAAGGCGAATAACTCCACAACGAAGCTCGATAGGAAAAAAAATATGAAGTACTACAACTATTTTGAGCTCCCCTGTATACGCCTTCATTTTTGACATGACCTTTCCGGACACCCTGTATAATTAATACATAAACAAAACATTTTTATTTGGGAGGACTTGGTTTTAACGAATATACAAGTTTAGCTGTATCATTTATTTGTTTTTGATTAGAGAAAAAATGAATGAAGGCCACATTTATTTGGACATATATGGTTTCAAAATAACAATGTTGATGGTGTTTCTTTTTCCCGAGGAATTGGGCAAATTACTGCGTATTCCTCTAACAACAAATCGTACTTGGGGAATGTACGCTGTTAGCAGCTTTTTCCTATTTCTGGTTTTTACTACTCTGTTGTGGTTGCCTATAACTTTTTTGGTACCCTCTGTATAAAGATCAGTGATCCCTTTGATCTAGCCTTTTTGCACTGATTTATTTTGTGCACTTTTTGTTTTGTGCTCGACATTTTTGTGTCCTCAGTCTTTGCTTTAGACTGCAGAGCACTTTTTGTATTAGCTACATGGATTTAGTGAAGCCTAGGTGGTTTGGATCTAGATCTGAGCTTGAGTAACAATTTTGTATTGAGTACAAAAAGTTTATTTCAAATTGCTTGTGCATAACATTGGCTTTGTTTAGAAGATTGACCTGGTACTTCGTTCTAGGTAATGAATCGTTAATGTCCAGGGTTAACGTTAGATCGCACCGCTTGATGATACCGCAACGGTCCTATGATTTTTCGCATTTCGGTGCTTTTGAAACTCAGGAATTTTTGCCTTTTCTTAGAGTAATCTTGACCTGTCGCGAAGGTAGCTAGGAGTTTGGTTTCAGTGTGTTTGGTTGGTCGCTGAGTGGTTTCTGTGAATTTTTGGCAAGTTTCTCAGAAAATTGGAAACATTTCCTTTTCCACTGTGGCATTTAACAGTGGCTCTGTCAATGATATTGGACTCTGTGGGTGGGTATCGTCTGAGTCGATGTGTTCAGAGCGGATTTGGGCAGCTTTTGAGGCGAAATTGGAAAGATCCATGAAAATTATGAATCACGACGCTGCGCTGTTTGATTGGCTTATCTAAGTGCTTTTGGAACCACTTGGTGTAGATTGGAAACATGGGTGAAATTTTATTTCATTTCACTCGACATTTATTTTACATTTTTGGTTTTATGAAATATTTTGTGCGTTACGTTACAAAAAATCAATTAATACATTAGTATATCTATTATATACATACGTATGTTGTGAGTTTATGCCTAGTGGTTTTTCAGATTAGAAACAGTGGAATTACTCGTGAGGACTGATCCAACTCTAATTCAGTGTTTGAAAAGGACCACACCGGATATTGTATTTCCACACACACCTTTACATCTGGCCAGTCGAAATGGCCACAAGTAAGTACAAATTTCTTCATAAATTAAATTGCAATTTTAATATTTTAAGGTGTATCCGGTTTAAAAAAAAAATCCATTTTGATAACGTTGATAGTTTTCAATTTGGTTCTAAATTGGGATCCTATTTCTCATTTTACAACAATTTCTTCTGTTATTTGCTAATGTTTTAAGGTTTTCATAAAATAATGTTTTACCTCAACTTTAAAATTGAGAATAAAAAAAAGTTTCGGTAATATTTTATTGATGCCAGACCATTTATTCTACCATCGCACTTTATTTTGATAAATAATACTAGTTATGGATTTATTTTTGTTTCCTTATCTTAGACGGAAGATTTATTACTGATACATTTACAAGTAGATTGCATTATCTATACAAGTAAACATGGCAGTACAAAAGACGAGACAAAAGATTCTCACTGTAACTCGGTACTTTCCCAAAGCCTTTGTTTATATAACATTATTATAGCAAGCATCATATTATATACAAGCCTATGATTTTTAGGTATAATAATAGACTTATAAAATTAATGTTACAATCCACAATTATAATTTATAATTTAAATGGTTACCGCTACTCAATATTGGCTTCTTATTATTCTTCTTTCCTAGTGGTTGGTCCTAATAAATCCCATAGCACCGCGGCCTAATTAGGCCTATTGTGCGTCCCATTACTAGTCCTATTCAGCAAGTAGTTTTGTCCTTTTGACAAAGTCCATAAGCTTCCTTGCTGACACTTCTCTCAGTTCCTTGGGTTCCAAATAAGGTCGCCCCAGGAGCGTCATTCTACTAGAGAAGTTTCAGCCTCGGCAGACAGGACTGTCTACAAGCTTTAGCTTATGTAGATGTTTCCTAAAGTGACAGTGTCCCATTATGAGTCCTGTCACTCTCCTGAGCCGGATTTTATTCAAGTTCAGTAAATCGTTGGCTCATTCCTTCGAAGGATACTTCATGAGCCCCTTAGAATGGCTATGTCCTGGCCTTGAGGTCCAGTATTTCCTATGTTCTGTCTCGGTCCATTTGCCCAGAGCCCGCCTGACCACACTGGGAGATGTGCCACAGAAGGGCTCCGGGCCAATGAATTCTGTCTCGGATCCCTTCCAAGCAAGTTCATCCGCTTTCTCGTTGCCACAAATGCCTTTGTGTCCTGGCACCCAACACAGGCTTAGTCAATTGCCTTCGATGCAGCCAAACTGGCAATGAGTGACCAGCCAATCTGCAAGTACAATGAAAGCAAGATCAGAAGTACTAAGAGACACATAGTAGGAAACTTGTCTGCGGACTAATGCTCCGACTAACATTGAATTATACCGGTAATATCTTCCACACAAACCGTGTTAGAATACTCAAACGTGGTATATATACTTTAAAATAGGTGTATTATTCGTAGGTCGTCACATTTATGGCGTTGTTTTTTCGTGTAACACATTAGTAATATCGATTAAAGCGAATTGTACATTTACAACCTTCTAATTTGCATCGAATCAGTAAAGCAAGCTTCGTCACTGCAACGTTATCGGTCACACCAGTATTTTTTAAATTGTGTCAGATATGAACGATTGCAGATGATTACAACAGTTATCTTATTCAATATTTGAAGTACCAGTCTAAGATAATTTGTGTAAAGTAAACAAACAACATGCTAAAAATATCTCAATTTTTCGCTACACTCACGGAACCTTTTTAAGTATTCACTTGTAGAATAAATTCGTAAGTTATTTATTTTTGTACAAATAACACATATTCTATAAGTTTCAGTCTTTTCCTTATTAAACAAACGTTTGTTGTTCCATGAAATATACATCTTTGAAATGTTTTTGTATAAAATCAAAATATACAGGGTGGTCCGAATTTTATGCAGGAAACTTCGAGGGTAGATAGATCTCCTTAAAATAATATTTTGTTTGCCTTATAAACATAGGTCTGGAACGACCCCGTTTTAGAGATACAGGGTGTTGAGGTTTTAAAAAAAGTTGATTTTTTGTTTATATCGCACACTACCACACAGGTGGTGTAGAAAGGAGTGTAAATAATTTTGTTGATGTGCTTACAAATAGCACTTACTTTTAAACATAAACAAATATTCTTGTAATATTATCGTTAGAAGTGTCTGCCACAAGGGGATTGTATTGGTATGAATAACTTGAGAACGGCGAATCTTAGGGAAAAAAATAAAGTCACCTATTTTACGTATTTTGTATATTAAAATATAAATCAGTTACAGTGACATGTAAAAACTGCAGTGGCGTAGGTTTTTTTTGTAAAAAAGGGGATGACCCCTGTCCAGTTGTACACCACTGGTTGAACCTTTAAAGCTCATATTTCAGGGAATATAAGGCCTACTATCATACATTATGTGTACCACATTTTATTGAGATCGGTTACCTGATAGATTCGGGAGATATAAACAAAAAATCAATTTTTTTTGACAACTTTAACACCCTGTATCTCTAAAACGGTACCGTTCCAGACCTATGTTTATAAGGCAAACACACATTATTTTAAAGAGATCTATCGGCCCTCGAAGTTTCCTGCATAAAATTCGGACCACCCTGTATGCACTGGAGCCCCAAACAGAAACGGATATTACCTGTATGCACCTGTGTCTCTGGATATATCAAACACAATATGATATCGGTGGGTATCCAGTAATACTACTATGTTTCCAGGGTTAGTGTAGGCATCTGCACGCAATCTGCTTCGTGCACGCATGATGTCACATACATATTGCATATAGTGTGGGAATGCCTATAGAAATTACTGTGGTGTAAGCTGCTAATATGCAAGTGGTGTATAATCTTGTATTAAATCTCTTGGTTTGAATGGATAAAACAGCAATATGAGCTGATGGGTATTTTCAGTTTGGTACAGTTAAAATGAAATGAAAGTAGGCAAGATAATAATTTATTTGTTGATTTTTTCAAATTATTCAGTAGGTATTTTATTTCAAATCACCACCAATGAAATGACGTTTCGATTTCTGAAAAATTTAATCAACAACTAGAGCGGGTGTTATCTTGTATCTTCAGTTTTGTACTTTATTTATCTACAAATCTCTCATCTTATCGAATGTAAAGATTGTTCCAAGTTTTAACCTGCCAGATGGAAACGAGGTATAGCAATTTCTTTTATGAAAAAAAAAACATAGTTCTTGGCTGGTTTGTACTGATGTAGCATAAACTTTGTCATTCATGAATCCATAAATATTAAAATCTAAAAGATTCAGGTCGGGTGACCTGGCAGACCAATTTACAGGTACATCTTGTCCACGTTCAATCCATCACACAGCAAACTGATTATAAAGGAACTGCCGCGCAGTTTGAATGTGATGTGGTGGTGGTGCACCATCATACATAAATTGTATGTACGTTGGGCGCTATAATACGGATTTTGCTCAGTCTTACTAGTTTGCGGTGAAGATAACCTACCATCATCTCCCCTTAGCAGAAGCTTTATAAGAATTGTCAGCGTAAGAACTGTGAATGAATTGCAGCTGTGTATGAGCGTTGCGCTCGGTTTCGTAATTTTTAGGATAATGATAACTAAATGCGGTTCAGTAATTCATGAGCTTTATCGATTTAAGAATATCGTGATACAAGATATGCAATGCGGTAGTTAACTATACGATACGAATGCTATGAGATGAATCTCATCGAGTACACACTCTGGCCAGGCAGACATGCCCTGGATAACAAACTGCGGGAAACCTGGGTTGATGTTCGCACATTGACTGGGTACATTCCGCTAGGCAGCCTGAGACATGGTCCGGTTTAGTTCCAGAATTTTTGAAACCAGAAAAACTGCGTCCTCGGCGAATACGGCCATCTCTGGGGGGGCTGAAGGTCTGAAATTAATTTGTGTTAATACCGACCCTAAGGTCATTTAGGGGTACGGATTTGAAGTCCCTTGGATGTTATTTTCGCCACGTTATAGAAATTGGGGCGAAATTTTGAGGCTCCTTGCCCTAGTCGGCGACCTTGGGTAGAGAGTGGTTGTCGTCGTTGTCGTTCGAAGAAACGGAGGATTCTTGGCGGTAATCGTGTCACCGGATGACTTGACGGGTGAAAACATCAGTGAATTTCCCTGATTCGTCTGCAAGGGCCCTCGCGAGAAATCTTGAAAAGATCGATGAAAAGTATATGGACCTCTTTTGTAGAATTGTTGCAGCTATTCAAAACGTAGGCGAATTCTGAAGCAAAATATGTTCTTAGAAATTAAAATACTGATCACCATTTAAATGTGGCGATAGCTCAACAGGTCCTAGCAAATGGTCACCGATAGTTTCAGTCCATACATTACTAACAAATTGATGTTGGTAATGATACACAATTGTTGCCTTTAGATTATCGCCACTTCATTCATGACTGTTTTGCAAATTTATTACTCCATTTTTTTTTTTAAAACACGTCGCAACAGTATATAGGAAAGTTCTGCAGAAGTCACTATTTTCGTTTATTATATTTCTGAACCAGTTAAAAAAATGTAGTCTAGCATTGTTATCCTGGGGCAAAATTTTGTGAACTCTTGGGTGGTAAAGCCTTAGTTGTTGTTCTGTGTAGACCGTAAACTTTGAAAAATTGATTATAGCACCAATTTTTCTTATACTTGAGTGTGGATTTTCTTCAACGGTATTTAAAACGGCTTCTTCCACATCTTCAGTCCTTATAGACCGTGGACAAGCGTGTTCTCTAGTATGAGCCGAAAAAGTATTTTTATCTCCAAATCGTCGTTCAATTGCAGCCAAAGTATCTACTGAGGTGAGGTACTTATCTACCTGGAAACTTGTCAGCATACCGCTTTGCTGATGCTAAAGAATTACATCTACATTTTCCATATACCAAAAACATGTCGGCTAATTAATTTAAAGAGATTATACGCCGTGCAAAGAAAGCCCTTAGAATGTTTGAGAAGTTTTGAGTTTTTTAAAACCCTCACAAAAATATCCACAATAGTACTTGGACATCCCATGACGGAAATACTACGAATCAGTGTTTGATCACG